GCTCTGGGCACTTTTCAGAACGCCTACTGCTGTGATGCGTGCATGTATAAAAATGCCTTCATTGCACATTTTTTGTCAAGCAGCTACACCAGTAGTTATTGTTTGGCTATAAGTACATGAAGTTGTTACGAATCATAAAACTGCATTAAGAAAACAACAGTGTAGGAAGGGGAAATTTTGAATGTTATTGGCAATGTGGAATATGACATGCACATTATCTGAAGTTATTTTGACTGGTGATTCTCAACCAGGGTACCATAACACGCTGGAATGTTGTGAGATCCTTTTAAGAGTTCTGCAGGTGTGACACAATAATAACACTGTTAGGTATGTGAACTCTGTGCCCACCTGGCCTTGAACATCCGGTCACGTGCAGCTCTATTCCGGATGCTCGGTGACGTTTGTCTTACCGTCCCTGGTGGTCCGCTGAGTAGGTGTTCACCTCCGGTGTGGTCCTCCCCAGTCCTGCCTGCCATGACTTTGAATCTTACTTCAGTGGAGGGTCGAACCATTCGGGGTCTCTTGATGGTGGGACGTCTGTCTGGTGGTCTTCTGCGAGGCTCCACCTCCCTTCTACCTCGCCCTTACACCTAGCCTTGGCGGGTCACTGTTGTTCTCTTGGCCAGCCTCCCGACCACTGCTCCCAACTTACTTTCGCGGGAGGGATGAGCCACCCTGCCTAAAGCAGAAACAGTCGGCAGTATCCTACCCGAGCCACAAGGCCGCCGCCTTTTCCTAAAGGGTAACAACCACCCTGTGGCTTATGTACCAAACAGGTTCCCCAAGCTCTAACCCTCAACCCCTCCGAAAGTGGGAAACGTAAAGATACAACAAAAAAAACCTACTGATATCCTTTGGGGAACCCAGCTGTCCCCTCCGTCAACCCCCTTGGCTGAGTTACTAACAACTTCCTCTCGCCCTTAAGGGTCTGTGTTCGGCCCTATATGTGGCCGGGGTATCCTGTGGATTCTACCCTGATCCTTAGCTCCCATTGCCCAGCCTTCGGTTTTGTCGGCCCTGCCGTGGTCCTCCGACAGATGCCTGTCCCCTCGTTCCCCACCTGGTATGCCTCTTCAGCTCCCCCGGTGCACTCAACGGTCCCACCTAGTCTGGTGCCGTGACCTGCACTGGTCTCTTCAGCTCCTCTGCTGAGGCCTCTGGCATCGGGGTCTTCCTGGGTCCCTCTGCCCTTTTGTCCGGGTTTCCAGTGTTGAGGAGCTGCCTTCGGCTCCAGGTTCCTTTTGCCGCTGCCGGCAGCCTCTGGTTGGCAGCGTGTGCCAGCGTGTTCTTCCCTGCTGGGGAATGCAGCTCTTGGCTCCTTTTGCTCCCACAGGAGCTTCAGGAAGGCACCTCCTGCCGGCGACAATCTGCTGCCCCTCTCCTTCCTGCTGGCGGCCCCATTTTATTTCCGCTGGCCAGCAATTGCAGCTGACGTCACCAGCCAGCTGCAACTGTATAAAGGCATGGCTGACAAGCCGCGTGGGTTCCTCCCTCAGTTCTGGCTTCACCCCTGGTCTCACTGCAAGTAAGTATCTCCTTTCATCTTTTCTTTCTCTTTCTGTCTCCTGTGAAGGTTCCCCCCTGGTATTTTGGGGTCCCCCCCTTCTGTTTCTCTCTGTGACACTCCTACACGAGTCACAAAATAAGCCTAGAGATTTCAAATAGGAATCCATACGGTCAAACATGTTTCTAACTCAGGGGCAGGCAATTATTTCGGGTGGAGGGCTGCTTAATAAGTTTTGGTGAGCTGTGAGGGCCACATGGGTAGCCTGGCCCCTTGACTGTTGCCCTGCCCCCTTGTTGCCATCTTGGGATGGGAAGTCTTACCCCTAACCTTTGTCACCAAAAGTCCCTCCTCTTGCTCCTCAGAAATAGTCTGGGAGGGGAGGGGGTGCAATCTTAGAATTAGAAAAAAAAAATCATACACTAAAAACTAAACACCTACTATAACATATTTTAATTTTATGATCAAAAATATTTTTGTCATAATTTGTGTTTGCATACTGTATATAGAGGCGATTGCATAATAACTCAAAATAAATTCTTAGTCTTGTATATTGTGGGGGGTGTATATGGTAGGGTGTGGATGTGTGTGGAGGGTTTGTGAGGGAGGGCATAGGGTATGTTGGAGGTTGTGGACATGTGGGGGGTTGTGGAGGCAGGGTGAGTGTGAGGGGAGTGTGGGTCTGTGGGGACCCCTGCACTCCCTCCATGGTGCAGCAGCAGCAGGCAGGGCGCTCAGGGTGCAGGTGCCTGGCAGGGCACAGCTTTGGCCAGCACTGCACATCACAGTGAGGGGCACAGCCTCCACTGGGCTGTCTATATCATGAGTGCTCCCCACCACTCACGCAGCCCCCACACTCTCAGGGCACCGAAGGAAAGCCCCAGGCACTGTTGCCAGCTGCCTTCCCCACCCCCCAGGAGAAGGTGCTTGGGGCTTCTTTCCTCTGCTGCACAGCCCCAGCATGGAAGGCAGCCGGCTCCAGCACCTGGGGCTTCCCTCCTGTGCCTGGCCTACGTATTTGTGGCAGGGAGCACTGTTTATACAGACCGTCTGACAGAGGCTGCGCCCCTCACTGTGATGTGCAGCACTGGGTGGAACTGTGCCCTGCCGGGTGCCTGCGCCCTGAGCCCCCACTGCCTGCTGCTGCTGCTGCCACCACCTACCAGGTCTGTGCGCCAAAGGGGTGTGTAGCTGGGGGGCGTTTCCCACACCCCCCCACCCAAGCACCACGCTGCTGCCAGCCCCATGCTCCGTGCTCCTGCCCAGCTGCAGCCCTGCCCCTGCTGCTTCCCTACCTGCTGCCCAGAGCCAGGAGGAGACCGGGAAAGCCAAGCACATCCGTGGGGGCTGCAGCAGCAGCCCTGCCCAGAAGCTGCCTACTGGCCAGGCTGCGCCCTTCCGCCCACAAGGGTACAAGTGAGGTGCAATAGGGCATATTTGGGGCTGTGTGTACACAGGTGCCTCATTCCCACCCTTGTGGGCGGAAGGGCTGGGTGAGGTGCAATTTGTTGTGGGGGCACTGCGGGCCAGATGAAAGTGCTTGGTAGTCCAGATGCGGCCTATGGGCCATATTTTGCCCACTCCAGTTCTAACGTCTGGTCTTTTTGAGTTACTTGGAACAGAAAAATTGCTGTTGTTTTTTGGTAGTCAAAAAAACAAGTGAAAGCTAGAGCTGCAATTTTCTGAGGGGTGCTTTGAGTCTAACAAGGGGTGTCTTGAGTCTAAAAGATGAAGAACCATTGATTTAGATGATAGAAATTTGTCTACTTTATCTACAACAGTTTAAATCTTCTCCAGCATTAATTATTTTATATGCTGTAACTGAGAACTGAATCCACTTTTAGAAACTGTACTTTAATAAAGTGTATGCAAAGGGACCATACACATTCTTGCTATGTTTTTGTTTCTACTTGAGAAATATGGGAAGTACAGTGAGAAGAATATTGATCTGATGTGTGTGTGTGTGTGTGTGTGTGTTTGTGTGTATGTATGTATATAAATAAAAAATAAAAATTGAATTAAGTTATTATTTCTAAAGTTTTTAACCATTTCTTTTTTTATAGATATATATACTTTGAAATTTTGAAATGTGCTCATGTGTCAGTGGGATCTTTTCTAAATTCTGTTACTTTTTCTTATGTGATTATAAAGACCATATAGTATAAAAAACCATTTAAGTAAATCAGCCCCCCACAAGTTCTAAGCCATGAGAGACCACAACTGTGTGATACTCTGATGAACATGTTGCAGAGAAGCAGTGTGACTAAGAGATTTAAAAAACCCCGAAATGCATACATAAAGTTCAATTTCAGGAACATTAATTAAAATGCAAGAACAGGACCAGTTGAATATTCAACTGATTCTTGAATACAGCTGAACTACATGGACACAAGTCAGGCTGGGAGTCCAAAGCTCTTTTTGGCAATACCCCAATATGCTATACAATATGGTCTTCTGGCACCATTATAGAGCAATACGAGGATGGCTCTAATTTATGTCCGGTAATTATAAGTACAAGGACTTCAAAAGAAGCAGAGTATTGATACTGTGTAGAGGCCTGGACAATATCCACTTCTTCTGTTTTCCAAGACTAAGAGAAAGGGACATAGAAGTTTCTATGCTGGCTCCATTTTATGGGATGACAAGCCACAAGCTTTGGCCAGACGGAACCAACTACAGATCTGAATTAGGTTGGCAGTGTGGCTACATTACATGATTTAGTCCAGAGTGTTCCAGTAACTAGTTCCTCCCTTCCAATTTTAGTTGGTTGAAATAGGCAATAGCAAGTGAGTTCTTCTTTCAAATTAATTACCAGAATGTTCAGGATTTGAAAGATCATTAAGTGAATCTTTGAATTAAACCTAGAAATAAATTAATTAAAATGTTATCGCAGAGACTTCAGTTACAGGGCTCAGAAGATGCTCGGCTACATTCTGCATAGCTGGTGGTCAGATTTGAAGGAGCTTTATTGTTACTTTTAAATGCTTTTACACATTACAGAAAATCTGTCTTTGACAAGGAATAAGTCTTTATCATGTGCAATCATCATGCATGCAAAATGTTGGAAAGAATGCTACAAAAGAACTATTGGGTCATTTGATACTAGAGATTTCTAAAATAAATATACTAATCTAGTCATGTTAGATGCTAGTGATAGTAAGGTTCATTTAGCAGATAAAGCCTAAGTAAAAATGAAGTACAAAAACTGCTGTTTATTCCATGTATTTCTTTTGGAAATGGTTCTGAATTTGTAGAAAGACTGCCAAATCCATTCTTTCTGTGGGCCTGCAATGGGTTTCCTCCTTGTATTGAAGTATAGCAATGGGCATGCATAAGAGTAAATATACATGCTGTCATAAAGACCATGGGGAAAATACCAGGAAGGAGCAGGATTTGTTTATTCAATACCAGGAAAATGTTACTTTTTCCATTTTCTTTACATAAATCATATCAGTGAAGCAAATAATTATGTATCTAATACATTTTCCCCTTACAGGAGCCTTTGAATCATTCATATGCTACAATATCTCAGTGTATCCTCTCTTTGAGAATAAAATAGGAGCTCCATATTCTGTACAAGCTTATTTTCAAGAAAAACGTATGTATATGAAACTACCAATACTACCTTCTGTTCTGCTCTGTTCTGTAGATTGCAGTAGCAGTTGAGCTCTGTGTTTAGGAGCTGCACTGCTTAATTGTGAATGGTATTAGAACTAGGTGTGAGACTCCTGATATTCCCAATTCAACCCTTGACTTGCTGTACATTTCTCAGTATGTTATTTAATGTAGGTTCTTTAATCTACAGTGTTCACTAACCTGCAGCAATGTTGTAAGGTTACATGATGTTTGTAAAGTGCTTTGAGATGTTTAGATGAACACTGACACAAATAATTTATTATAATTTATTTTATTATAGTAGAGACAAGTCAGTTCTTAAATATTGCATCACACTTAGATTACACACTTTAAAAGATATAACTGACTGAACTTTTTGTGTTACCCTTGCACTCAAAAGAGTAAAAGGTAAATTTCTACACACAGAATAAAATGGGTCATTAGAAAAGTTTGTGGGTTTGCTTTTTTCCCTTTTTCTATTTTTATATATTAATGAACAGTGTACATTCCTGTATATTTGAGGTTGTATGAAGGTATGTAGTCAGGACTTAGTTTGAATGCTTTTTGTTCGTTAACTTACACAATGCTCAGACAATAGTTATGATTGACAGAATAAGGGAAAGGACTAGATCCGTGTTCAAAGGACTTAAGCATACAGAACTTTTGCTTGTGCCATGCAGTAGGGGTGATGTTATATAATATGAGTAGGAAGTGTGGTCAAATAGGTTGAACTGGGACATGGCTAACCATGGAAAACCACAGACTTCGGCAGATCACACTATCCTGCTTTGAACTTCAGTTTTCCGTGGGTATCCTATTTCCTTACCTCTCAAGAATGTTGGGAGGATAAAATCCTTTAATAATTACAAATCACTCCAACACTGTAGTGCTAAGAATTATGTAAGTGTACAAAAGAGGGTAAAGATAGTATCTCTGGAAAGATGAGAGGAGCTGAGGGTTGGTACCAGATATTTGATAAACTTGGATAAATAAATAATAGCTCTTTCTTATATCACTGGTGTGCATGTCACATTACAGATTAGTAAAGCTGTGTCATTTTCAGTATTATATATATTTTAAATATACATGTTTATATTTTTTGCAGCTCCCACTGTTGGTCCTGAAACTAAAGCAGACAATCCAGGCAAAAATGAGGCTATAATAAAATGGAATGAGATTGATAAAATACACAAAAATGGCTTTATTAGAAACTATACAATATTTTATAAATCTGAAGGTGGAAAAGAATTAAGTAAGTATGTTTTTGTTAAATTGAAGATAAAGCTTCTCCACTTTGTGGTACCAGCTCACTGATTTATGACATTTATCACATGATGAACAGATCAGCACATGACTTCTGATTCTACTTAAACTGGTAGCAAATTCTGCAAGACAAAATTTAAAGTCTTTGTAAGATGAATTGGTGATTCAGAATCACTGATCTTGCTTTGCTACTCCCTATCAGTCTCTTCATGTTTATTTGCATTTAAGAGCTCAGTTGGGTGGAACGTTGTCCAGAGATAGCTCAAAGACCACTTGTTTGAAAGCCAGGGTTGACTGTTTCACACCTCCAACACAATGGAACTCTGTACAGTAAGGGTAAAGTTTCTGTATTGCTCATGTGGAGCTCTGTGAGTTGCTGTGGATAAGCAGCTTACTGTGCTAAGTTGGCTCAGGTATCTGTGCTAGGTTTCTCAACCTGGTCTACTGAAGACATTCACAGATCTTACCAGCTGTCACGCCAAGTGCAAGGCAAAGTTTTTTCAGCTTTTCTTCTGTTAGCAATATGCATAGCCACATATATGGCTAACAAAACACAACTGAAACAACAGTCCTGCTGCACACACTTCCCCCCATTAACAAGAATATAAGAGAACAAACAATGGGTGGCAGTTACAAATCATGTTGCTGGAAGGCACTTGGGCATTTACATAGGTAGTCTGATCTCTAAAAATGAATGGGATGATCATCATATTTTCTTTACTGATGCTCATTGCTCATATCTGTTGCTACAACACCTAGATGTTGATGGCAGGTGATACCTTTTTAAAGTTAAACCTGACAATGGAGTATTCCAGTTAATCACATAGGACCTGTGTGTGCATAGGAACATAGGACTGTAAGTGCCCAACAATTCTCTGTGACTGTTATCTCTGAGTGCTGGGTAGTGGTTAAAATAGCCTGGCAACCTCAAGAGTGTCAATGACTTTCTACAGAAGATCACCATGAGGGTACCTAGGAGTGGAGCCCTGATAGTTGGACAAATGGATGAGCTGCGCTCCAGCAGCTTGTCGCCAAGCTAGTTCCAAACATACTGGCACCTACCTTTCTATTGAAGTAGACCAGCAAGGCTGAGAGGGAGACACTGGTGTGTGGGCAGCAAAGTGTCTCCATATACACTGCCCAAGCAAGGATTATATTCACCAAGCTGATGTCTCATTTGGCGTAACTCTTTTGTCTTGTGAGACAGACAGATGCCTACTACTAATTGACAGGGGTATAGGTTGTACCCATGTTGGTCTAAGGACGTAGGCAAACAAGGTTCTTTGGATAAATCCGATATCTTTTATTAGACCAACTCAAATAGTTGGAAAAATTCTTCTTAGCAAGCTTTCGGGTATAAATATGCTTCATCTGGGTGAGGAAGCATCTGGCTTCTCTACTATTCATTGCATCCAAGAAGAGCACACACCAACTGCAGATGCTTCCTCAGCCTGACAAAGGTTGTCTATACCCGAAATTCTTGCAAAGAAGAATTTTTCCAATGATTTGAGTTGATCTAATAAAAGATATCAGATTTAGCCAAAGAACCCTGTCTACTACTAAGTGACCAACTCAGTCAATGAGTCCAACTTTTATTGGCTCCATATTAACTTCACTGAAACTAATCAGTTGTTTATATAATAACCATATCTAAAATATATGCATTAAAATGTGGATAAAGTTATTTTATTTTTTCCAAGAATTTTCTCATCTCTTTCTGTGTGTGGGGGGGGACGCTTAATTCCTTTGGCTTCGGTGGTTCCATTTACCACAGTTGTGTTTGTTCCTGACTAAACTGACCTGAATGGCTGACATAGTAGTAACAATAAGGAACAATGATAATGTTCCAGATCCACAAAAATCTTATTCATCTTATCTGATTCATAGTGATAGTGGTGAAAAGTAGGGATGTGATGACTGAAGCATTTTTTTCAGATTGTATGACAGCTCATGAGCTACAGCAGTGGGGGCAGCTTTTTGGCATGTATACCACAAATTAGTCCTGCCCTGTCATCAAGTGCCACTCCAAATCGCCTTCCCATGCCTGATTTGCTGTTCTGTTTTCTGCTCCCTGCCCTATCTGCCACGGTGCTGCCTGTCCTCTCACCAATCTGCCAAATGCCACACACAGAGGCTGGCCATGGCACTTGTTGCACCTGGGCAAGTTGACCACCCTTGTGTTAGGGAAAGCACGTTTGGCAGCATATGTACTTAGATAATTGTAAAGAGTCAACAGTTTAGGATTGTTAATTTAGTCATTATTATTTTACAATTATTTGCTGCTTTTCTTTGATGTATAAATATTTCTTTCCCCTATCATTCATCCTGGATGCAACGTCAGGGTCATTAGAGGAACCTGTAAGACAAAAATAAGGGTTAAAGAGTAGCTGGAGTGTATTGCAGATGCATAGAATCCCTATAGATTCTTGAGAACAGTGCATCTTCTGAGGGATTAGATCTGTTTCTGAAAGGTTGACTACTCCAGATATTCAGATTCTGGAATAATGTCCTGGAAGTTTTGCAAGTTAGATCTTTTTTACTATGAAAAAGGGGGTTTCTCAAATAGGGCAATGAAGTAGCCTAGTATGATCATTTACTTATTCTAGATACAGTTATAGATTTATTACAGGTGCTCTTTCAATATTATTGATACTCCATTAAAGGTACTCTTTATAGAAATCAAAATAGGATTTTCTCCAGTGAAGAATCTGATCTTAATGATGAAATGTTTTTTTAAATCAACAAATCTGTTGCTGAGGAACTTAAAAATTCTGGCCAGCCAAATCTTCAGTAATTAATGTGATATTAATACGGAATTGTTGTGAGCTTATTGCTTGAGTCTTATAGTTACGCTATACCAGCTAAATAGGAAATGCTATTACTAGAATTATAAATGTCTGTTGGCATCAGTCAGATATAGAAGTAAGCAACTGGGTCAGTCTTTTGCAGCATTTACCATGGGAAAAAGTTGTGCTCCTAAATGAGACACACGCTTATCTTCAAGCTTTCAAGAATGTATTGTAAGTACAAGAGCAAATGGCACCAAGTCCCTTCTGTGTAAAACATAAGACTGCAGTTTCAATATGAGTGCTTCATTATTAAAAGAAATCCCCCTTCTGAAGTTTACTGGCACAGTGGTAGTTGCCAGTATAATCCCAGCTTCCTGAGGGTATTGCGATTATTTACACTGTGATCACTATTACAAGTAAATAAACTGTAGCAATTTATCTTACGTGCTCTGACTATAGCTAGCAAGGATCATTTGGGGTTGATAACTTTTATTGGACCAAATGTATAGTTGGGATAAAATTGATCAAGATTTTAAAGCTCGTCTCTCGCGGCAGTTCCTGGACTATCACAGCTACATCAATGTAACACTCTATAGATAGTTCATGAAAGAAACTAGAGTAAACTGCAAAAAAACTGTTTCTCCAAACAGTTGTCCCATTATTATTATCTCATTTGACTTTGAGTATGGAGAGATGACCATATTATACTGAATTAAAAAGGGGTAGGGGGAGCCTACTGTGCATCATCCATACTACAAGAACTGGTTCATGCACCTGATCCTATCCCACAGTCAGTGGAAGCTAACCTGGGAAGCAGATGCCTGTTTCATTCAGGATATGTGGGAATGGCAGGTCCAGTGGCAGAGTGCACACAAAAACAGTTACGTAGAAAAAACCCGATAGAATCATAGGGCTGGAAGGGACCCCGAAGGATCATCGGGTCCAGCCCCCTGCATGAGCAGGAAAGACATCTGGGGTCAGGTGGCCCCAGCCAGGTGACTGCCCAGTCTTCTCTTGAAAACCTCTAGGGTAGGTGATTGCACCACCTCTGAGGGGAGCTCATTCCACAGTCTGGAGACCTTAGTTGTGAATAAGTTTTTCCTAATGTTCAGCCTGAAACTATCTTCCAGGAGTTTGTGGCCATTGTTTCTAGTTTTTCCTCACGGCGCCCTGGTGAACAGTTGTCCACCGAGCTCCTGATATAGCAGTAAGCCACAATCGGGTCCCCTCTCAGCCTTCTTTCTTTAGGCTGAAGAGTCCAAGATCCCTCAGCCTCTCCTCATAAGGTTTGCCATGCAAATCTCTGATCATACGGGTGGCCCTTCTCTGGACCCTCTCGAGCTTATAGCACGTCCTTGTTGAAATGTGGCACCCAAAACTGGACACAATACTCCAGCTGTGGCCGCAACAATGTTGAGTAAAGTGGGATGATTTAAATACTAAATGCCTTTTTTGGTGTGTGTCAGCACTTGCATGTATGTTGCCCAGAAAACACCTACATGGTACATGTAATGATGGCATGTATGTAGGTGGTAATTTTTCTTTTCAGTCTATCTTGGATTGTTCTGAACTGATGTGTCTGTCTTTTATGCTGTCTTTTTAGTTTGACCATAAAAGCTAGGACCTACAACTTGTGATGATAAAGATCTCATTGCTCTTTTATTATGAAGAAAGTATCATCCATACTTTTTACATTTTGGCTATCTAAACTTTCTTGTACTTTTCAGTTGACCATAAAATGATTCACTTTGTGTCCTAAATTGTTATATGGCATTGTGCTATATTCAACAATTTCTTTGTTCTGCCCCAAATGACATCTTTGGTTATTTTGTATTTCAACAAGTCTGTAAAACTTTTGGATTTTTTCAATATAAATGGCCCTATGTAAACATAAAATAATAATATTTAACACTTATTTCTGTTTAATTAGTATTTTTGTGTGTTTATTTATTTACTTATTTATATTTAATTTATTTTTTTTTCATGTCTGTCTTTCCCTGAAAAGATAAAACTGTGAACTGTAATGTTCTGCAGTACAAACTGAGCTCCCTGGAAGCAAACACGCAATATACTGCTTATGTGAATGCAGCCAACAGTGCTGGTGGAAAAAATGGAAACACCGTAACTTTCAAAACTTCAAAATTTAGTAAGTGATGTTGGAGGTTAAATCATGCTGCACTGATCGTGTTTTTGGGGGGTAAGAGATGCAGATCAAAATCCTGTTGCCTTTCCAAGGTACTGAAGTGCGATGCTGTTCCATCCTGCTCAAGTCCTTGAACAATCACTAACACCAAAGGCAGATGGGCCCTTCTCCTCCTTCTCACTGCTTTTTGTGACTGAGGCTATGTGCAAACATTTATTTGTATCACTACAAGAATAAAGCACCATGGGGTGTGCACACATGCACAACCCCCTGGCTGGAGTGCTACAAAGTGACTTCAGGGGTGCATTGTCCAGCTAGCATGCTTTCTAGCTTCTTTCTTTCCCCCACCCCCATGGGATCCTGTGAGTTTGGCAGCTGCAGTAATAAAGTGGTGGCAGCAGTAGCTGAAGGCAGCCTCCCTGCTGCTGCAGCCAGTCTGAGTGCGCTAGCTCTTGCTGATGTCCTGTCAGTGTTTGTGGCAGTGGCAGTTCTTCCTGGTGCAGCCAGCATCCTGGGAGCACTGGCAAGAGACATACATCTCTGGTGTTGGTGATGGAGGCAGCTGTTCCCACTGCCAGCACCACCAGCTGTTGCCAGTGCTTCCAGCTGCAGCAAGAGCAGCAGGGTCCCAGCAGCATTTCAAGATGGCTCGCCACCTCTGGTCATGTTATCAGAGTGCTAGCTGCTTTCCCCCTCTCCCTTTGGAGCAGGGAAGGGATAGCAGAGGATTGTGGAATGCTGGGGATCTGAGAGACCCTGTGTAGTGGTAGATATAAGAGGAGACTAGACAAGCACCTAGCTGGGGTAATCTGACCCCAGTGCTCTTTCCTGCCCAGGGTAGGGGGTCAGATGATCTACTGAGTTCCCTTTCAACCCAAACATCTATGAAATCTATATAACTGTCCATATATTACATGTAGGACTACTGAGATCTCCTTTGGAAGATAGTTTCATAGTTGTTAGGGGCTGAAAGGGACCTTATAGATCATCGGGTCCAGTCTCCCTGTACTTGGACAGGAAAGACTGCTGGGATCAGGTGACCCCAGCAAGGTGGGCATCAAGACACTTTTTGAAGTTCGCCAGGGTGGGTTACTGTATCACCTGTGGGGGGAGCCTATACCAAACCCTTGGCACTCAACTTGAAAAGAAGTTTTTCCTTATATGTAGCCTGAAGCAATCTTCAATCAGCTTGTGCCCATTATTTCTTGTTGTCCCCTGGGGGGCCTTGCTGAAAAGATGCTCCCCTAGGCCCTGATTTATGCCCTTGACGTACTTATAGACTGCCACTAAGTCCCCTCTGAGTCTTCTCTTCTCCAGACTGAACAGTCCCAAGTCTTTCTGAATGTTTCTGTTTGTTTCTGTGGTGGATCCACCATTTTTGTGGTGCTACAAATGCCATGACTATCTGGACATCCACTTCTTGTAACATTACAAATGTGTGTCCATAGCGTGAGCCTTCAGACTAAAATGAAGGTGCATTATGTATCTGGTACATTAATGAATTGAACAGGGTGAAATAGGACCGTACTTTGGTACTTAAGTAAGTACCACTTGGATACCATACAGGTAAAATAGGGTTTGAGCCACAGGTTTTTCATGTTGCCACTTGTTAGGACAATCCTAGCTTCTTCTGAATGTTTGAGCAAAATGAAGGAGAATAGTTAGAAGTAATTGAATTTGACTCAATGCCTTGGAAGACATTGCAGCCCAAAACTACATGGATTAAGATTTTAACAGTTGACTGCTGCTCCCCCATAGGTCTCTGCTGAAGCCGATGGCTCTTTGTGGTCAAAGTAGTAAGTTTCTATTCTGTCAGTTACAGGATCAGGGCTTAATGTTTTACCAGAAAAGATCTGCCTTAGAAATTGGGCTCAAATAAATGTGTATTGTGATGTTTTATTGTCTCTCTGCCCATATAAACAATTTACTGTAAGCATGACACATTTTCCTTTAAATTAAACTTGGCTAGCAAGTTACTCAACACACAATTGTGGCCTTTGGGAAATAACCTTGTATCTTTGTTTTCTTACTATCATTGTCTTCCTCTCCCTTGGGATGGCTACAAGTCAGAAATTCAGAGTTGTTCTGTTAAGATTTCAAAATGAAAGAAGCAATGTAGAAAACTATTTCCTCAGTTCTGTTTCGTTTCTTGGCACGTCTATAATGGAGTAACCACGAAGTAATGTAGGGATGTATAAGTTAGCTTTAAACTAGCTAGCTCATGTACTAACAGCAGTCTGGATATGGCATAACTTTGTCTGCCTGTAAATTAGTAACTATATTGCTACCCAAAAAGCAGACTGATTTATAACATGCTGAGGTTTATTCTGCTGTGACTAGATTGCTTTCTGGTATCCAAATTAGATACCATAGTTCATATATCTCAACCCTACACTGCAGTCATTAGTAGGACTACACTGTAAATGTATCTTAAAATATGCCTCCTCTGCATGATTTACCATACATTTTATACACTTCAAAGAGGTGGTGCTGGGGTATGATACTGCTGTGGCTAAGGTATTTTGCTAGGGCTCCAGATGAATGTGGGCAAACCTTGCTCTGGACTTGTACTGAAGGTTGTACTGTGTTGACCCAGTGGTGGGTTGATTCAGTCTGGAGAGTTAAGGCTATGCTGGATACAGTGTTAGGTATATCAGTTTCTGCGGGTACCATTGGTACAAGAACTTCTACCATGTTAGTCTGATGGATCAGAGATGGTAAAGAAACAGCTATTGTAATAAAGTAGCAGCTAAAATCAGAAGCAGCTGTTCTGAGATCCACATAAAGCCCCATCACATACTGTTACACAGCTGGATACAATAACCAGATTAATTTGGCAAAGATGAAATAACAAAAGCCCTTTCAAATTATGCTAGCAAGTGACTCTGAAATTATAGACTAAAATTGAAAACGAGCTCTTTGGTGGAATATATACAGAAATGTTTCACCATTTGTTCTTTCTTTCAAGATAAGGAAGACCTACTTTATATATTTATATCACTTGGATTATGTATGCTGTTCTTACTGTTGCTGGGAATAATATGTACTCTAAAAAAACAAACGTGAGTAATTTCTCTAAATTTTCAATGGGGAAAAAAGTCAATTTTAATGTGTGAAAGGTTAATTTTTAGTTAAAGAATTCTTGGTTGTTGGTTTCAAGCAAATATGGTATTAAGAACATTTCTCAGTTTGATTAAGTTAATATATCAAAATTCAGATTCTTATGCAATCCATCTATTTCGTCATATAGTTGTAAAAACAAATACTATTTATAGAAAATGTGGTAGACCAGAATAAAAGTATAAGAAATGGAACAACTTATTGCCTATCTCAGTTAAAGCAGTTGATTGTTTGAGGAAGGATTATGGCATGAACCAATCAAAAAACCTTTTCTGTGACTTTTAAAAAATAACATCTATTATGCAATACATACATTACAAAACAATATATTACAAGCAAACCCAGCCCATAAGCTGAACTTTGTAAAGTCAGGCATTTAGAAAGGTTGTATCTTACTAGTTTCTGAGAGGGCTGAGTTAAATTTACAAGGCCACTTGAATTCTGGCCTTTCCTAACCCTTGAGTGCTTGATTTTGTGTAATGGCCTGTGAGTTTAAAAAAGCAATTGACATAATCAGAAGTTTCACCATGTAGAAGAAAACCTATGGCCCCAGAACTTTTAGATTCATTACATACCTCCGCCTCTTGGAGTAAATAAATTTGTCAGATGGTACCCAGATACGTTCTTAGTGCAGAGGAGATAAGACTCGAGTATACTGGGTCCTATTCCAGGCTCCAGAAGCAAGTGTGCTTTACTGGGTACATTTTTGCCTGTTCTCTCACTGACCCATTCTGACTCAACCTCTGCAATTTGACTTTGACCCAGTTCCCTCTTTTTATGGCCTGGGGGCATACTCAAAGAGGACAGAATCTTTGGACATATTTAGCTGCTATACCCTTTGGATGTGATTCACTGAGGAACAAAGCTTCTTAAAATGTGTCTTGGATAAAACATGGGCACCTAAGCCTGAGAGAGTGCTTCACAGAGACTCTGCCTATTTCACATAGTCATATGAAAACCCTCAGGAATCTGAGTTTTCTGGTGACTTTGACACCATCTAAGTTGTACTCTGAGTCCCTCAGAGATTTGCAAACTAGGCAGTTCTGTACTGGGGCCCTCAGACAGGCCCAATACGGTAGATGTACTCTAAGTGCACTTAATACAAACTGGTGGCATATTGTTTGCATCCACAGTTACTTTTATTCAGAAACGTAAGGGGAGGAAGTGGTGGTACAGGTTTCCCTTGCTTTATGCTGTACATGCATTCCTGAAAAATAGTGCAGAACTCGAATTTTTATAAAGGGAACCCACTTTACGATGTAATAAATAGGGATATGTTCCAAGACGCCAACTGTACTGACCCCCAGACCCATTTTACCACTTTTACAAGACAATTTTGGTACTCACCAACAGCAGACAGTACACACAAGCACAGGGCACTATCATAATGGGGATGGCAACTACAGAAACACGTGCTGCAGACAATGAATGAGGAGCACAGATCCACACAGGAGACTATATTTTGGTGCGTGTCACTCCCACAATGGACTGCACAAAGCAGCTGACTGCGGGCTTCCACCACACCGATCCCATAAGAGTGAATTTACCTTGCATATAACACATTTTTGGTATAAAAAGGGTCATTGCATAAGACCGAATTTGCACATACAGAACCCACATAAATCAAGGGAAATCTGTACATTTTGCAGAGTAGACTATCAGTAACAGCACTTCCCAAGGAAGTGGGAGTCCTGGGTTTGACTCCCACTGTAGTCTTCAGGGGCTCTAATCCACAGCTTTTTGAGGTCAGAGGGAAGCTAGCAAGGAGTCTGACTGCAGCCAAGTGAGGAGGGCGCTGCTGTACGTATCTAGGAGCTTCTAGTATTTCAGATCCTTATCTTATGCACTGCTATGATAAATGCTCCTCTGACAAATTACAATTTTCAAATCTTTTTCTGACTACCACAGATTTCTGGGATTTGATTTGGAGATGCCATCTTGAATGCAATTAATCTTTTACATAAATGATGCTGTAGTCAGAAACACCCAAGGGCTTGTCTTCGTTGCAGAATTAAATTGAGATACAACTTATATGCTGTCCCTACCTTGAGTTACATCTACACAAAACTTCTTGAACTGGTCTTGGTCAGCAAGGGGTGCTTGTACAAATGACAGGGGCTTAGTCCCTAGGTTTTATTCTGTGGCCTCTAAATTGAAATAGTGGGGGTGCCGCCACTGTGGAGGGAAGAACCGGGGCCCCCTGCAGCTCAGGGCCCACTTTGGTCCACCGGCAGCTTGCCCCCAAGGTGCAGGAGAGGTGGGCAAGCTCTGCCAAAAAAAAAAAAAAGGATCGGGGCCCTCACTGCTTCTGCTTTCAGCAGGCTTTTGCAGCTGGCAGGATGCCTGGGGCTGCCCAGGAATGGACTGGCTTGCCCCTGTGGCGGCACAGGAAGGTGGCAGGAGTGTGGCTGGCTTGCTGGTGGCCAGAGAAGGTGATGGGGATGTGGTATGGGGCTGTCCGGGTGGGCTGCTAGCTTTCCTGAGCCTGCCTGGGTTTCCAGCATCCTGTGCACCATCCCCACCATCTTCTCTGGCTGCCAGCATACCCAGCTGCCCTCTTGTTGCCTCCCCATGCTGTCTCACGGGCAAGCTGGGCGTGCTGGTAGCCGGAGAAGGCAGCGGGGATGGTGCATGGGGCACTGGAAGCCTGGGCGGGCTTGGGGAAGCTAGCAACCCGCCCAGGTGGCCCCGCACCCTGTGCACCATCCCCACTGCCTTCTCCGGCTGCCAGCAAACCCAGCCGCCCTGCTGCCATCTTCCCGCACTGCCCTGGCGCAAGCCAGACCATTCCTGGTTGGCCCCAGGCCTCCTGCCAGCTGCAGGGGTCTGCTGAAAGTAGAAGTACTGGGGGGCCCAATCTTTTTTTTTCTGCAGAGTCTGCCTGCCTCTCCTGCAGCTGGGGGGCAATCTGACAGCTGCATCATTGCAATTTGCAATGTTGCAAACTAAACTACATCCAGATGTAATTTAGTTTGCAATGATGTGAACTCATCTAAAACCCCAAAAACTGGCACAAGTGTATTGTGTGACACCATTAAGCCACACAAGTAACATTTTTGTCATGTGTACATGTTGATGACCATCATGTGTACAAGCTCCCATGGAGTGCTGGCTTCTGCTTGAGTTACTACGTCATCAGCTGTTAATATAACAGCTCTGCACAGTTCAGGAAGTATTTTATAGTGTGATCAGGGAGTATTTTATAGTGGGTATGTCTACACGAGACATTTAGCTGCCTAATTAGATCCACAGTAAACATCTCTGTCTACATGTGTGCCCTATTAGAGTGCATGAAACTAATAAATTCCTGAGCAGGCTAGTAAATTTCAAGTAAATTTAAAGGCAATTCCAAATTTAAAGGCAATTCCTGCAATTACATATAAAAGTGTGCAAAAAGCCACTTTAAAGCATTTACGAAGCTAGTTTGAGTTATTTATTAACTGTTTTTGTTACTATTATTATTCAAGATAAACGATAGCAAAGAGTACAAGTTCTGACCTGGAACCTGCCAATATCCAGAGATGCAGATAACTTGTCATGTTAATAGACTCATTAAAATCCTACGAGTAAAATTAAAACACATGTTTTAAGTATTTCCAGGATCAAGCCTTAGCTTCTTAAGAATGTGACAAATTCAAAAAATGAGAATGCAATAGACATGATGTAAGTTATGTATTACCAGGTGTGTTATAGGCACGGACTGCAGTGCCACCTATTATTAAGGATGCCTGATATTCCCCATTTTAAGAGCCTCTTTTCAGTTGCTTACAAACATGCTGATTATTAATCCCTTTTAGGATTAAAAACATGTTTACCGTAAACTGATTTTAAAAAAATGTCTTCATTTACACTTGTAAATTTAAATTTAAAATTACAGTTGTAAATATAAGTACTAGCCTGCTCTGGAGGCTTTTTGTGCACAGCGGTGCACGGGCAAACACTGTCAGCTGGCTGGAGCTCGAGGGTTTTTCAGTGTGGGGGCTGTCTGCTGGCCCTGAAGCACCCTCATGCCCCAGCCAGCCCCGCTGCAGCACATTGAGCCTGGTCAGAGCAGCCCTGTGCCGCTGTAAGCGAGGGCTGCTCTAACTGGATTGAATGTGCTGCACACAAATAAACTCTGGAGTAATACACTCTGGAGTTTTTTGCTCTCAGGTGCACATTCAAAGGCTGTGCCTGGGAGCAATAAACTCTGGTGCAATAAGCTCTGGAGTTTATTAGCACACATCGGCCCCATCCAGAAGAGCAGGGGTGTGCACTTGCAGCAGCACAAATAGTAGTAGTACAAATTTGTGCTGTTACTTTGTGCTGCAGTGCTTTTCCCTGCACATGTGCTTTGTTGAGGTAGAAATTGTCCCTCTTTGGGCAAACGGCCCATGCCCAGCTCCTTCTGGCTCCTAGCTGGGTTTCGTATGCTGTAGGGAGGGCTGGCTGGGGCACAGGGTGCCTCAGCACAAGGCTAGCTGGCAGGTAGCCCATGCGCTGAGGCACCCTGAGTCCCAGCCAGCCAGGGAGTGGCACATGGCGACAGGAGAGCAGGCAGCCCTGGACTGTGGAGCCCCTGTGCTGAGGCACACATGCCCTGGCCAGCACAGCTGGTTGTCCTGGGCAGAGAGCTTGTGTTGTGGCACGTGGAGAAAGGAGCATCCAGCCCAGGGCTGCCTGCTCTCCCATCTCAAGGCACACTGTGCCCCAGCCAGCTGTAGGGTATGCCCAGCTGCCCACAGAGTGGCAGGCTGGGGCACAGTGTGCCTTAGTGCAGGGGCTCTATGTGCTACTCTGTGGTTTGCTGGGGCACAGGGTGCCTGGGACTTCCTGCTCCCCTGTCTCCACATTTGTCTGGGCACATGCTACTTTCACATGCTTTGGCCTGCTTTTTTATCAGGGTTTGTTTTTTGTTTGTTTGTTTGTTTTTTTTGCTATTGAGAAATCCCATTTTTTTGCTGCTACACTGCATATTAATAGTGTGGTGCATGGTTTAACGTGCAAGGCATCTGGTTTGTGGTGCCACAAACTATGTGCCTGCATGTGTGGATGCAGCCATTGCACGTGTGGATGTGCTCACTCTAACTAGAATCGGTGTGGATAACTAGAGGTAACTGAACTGAAAAAATAGCCTAATGCAGGAGTTGGCAACCTATGACCAGTGGTGGGCTAAATAAGTGGAGCTCAGTCTAAGTTGGGCCACCAGCTATGACACGATGAATATGTCTACATGTGCAATAAACTCTGGAGTTTATTGCTTTATTGCTCCAGAGTGTAGATGACAAGATATTTATTGTACAGCTAATTAGTCTACTGCAGAGTAAACATCTCATGTAGACGTTGCCCAGTCACTGCTAATTTGCCCTGTTGCTGAATGACACCATTTTCCCTTGCCATGTGCCACCACATGATTCCCCATGCCACAGATTCCCCTGCTGCCAAAATGCAATCAAATAGCCCTGCTGCTGAACAGTACTGCTGTCCTGACTTCACAGGCTGGATACAATACCTTTGATGGTTGAATCCAGCCCAGCAGATGGTTGCAGATGGCCGACCCCTGGCCTAATACAGCACTCAAACAGCCTTGATTATAAGCCTAATGTAGGCAAAACTAAAGGTTTGTAGTTTTTTAGCTTAAGCAGTTACAGTTGCAGCTCTCATTTCACTGTTTAATTATAACCACTGGTTTTGGAGAAGGCATTTCCTTGTTTTTTGACTATTTTTTCCCTAGCCCTAGTTTTTTATTTGACATCCGATACAAACAGTAAATAAGAATTGGCTTGAAGAAATGCAATTCCACTTATTAAAATGATTATATTTATGGTCCTTTGATAAATATTTGCTATTCTATACTTAATTGATTTATTTCCCAGTATTTCTTTGGTGTTCACAATTTTAGTAATCTAATTTGTACCTCAAATGACCACTTTCTGTTTCTTACTTGCAGGTTGAAAAGGGTTTGTTGGCCTGATGTACCAAATCCTGCAGAGAGCATTGTGGTAGGGTCGGAGGATGTATTTATGGTAATATCTTATGTCTATTTAATAATACAAATGTATGATATGATTAATTTCTTGATAAACAATTGAAGTACAACAGATCTCTTGGGCTACACTGGTAATTAAAATTATGTTTCACTAAGGTTGAATTGACTGGATGACAGTTCACCTTTATCTCATAGACACCTTCATTGGACTCTAAATTTGGTACTTTAAAACAGCACAATAATTACACTGTTGAAGTACATCTTGAATAATTACATTATTGAAGTACAAGACGTCTGTCTGTCTGTCTTGCTAAATAGACTAGAGAACTCTAGAGTAATGCATACATGGTCAGTAGAGTGCCACGTCTCTTAGAGATTATGTCCTAAAATATGAATCAGAGTAGGGTGCTTATATTATTTATTAAACATGTTTTTACAAGACAAAATTATATCATATAGAAGGAAACAACCATACTGGTAAAACTGTCAGATGACAGACCAATATGAAAAACATCCTGGCCTGACCACTGCCATAACAGATGCTGAGTGTACAGAAAGCTGTGTGTTCTCCTTGTACTCTTTCACAAGCATGTGTCTATGTTACCCTTTGGCAGTGCCTGGACTGCAGGCCATTTGAGGGCATTACGCTACTTCCAATTTAGAAGGTAGCCTATGTAGAACAGCACAGTATGTTGAGGGCACCCTGCCTGGCATGGTCAGCCTGTGGGCTAGATACGGCTTTAGTTTTCCCTTAAGTTTTTCCAGTCATTCTTCTTTGCCTTCCTGTGTAGGGCTAACATACAGGGTTTGTGAGTCCATGGATTACAATTCTGATGTATTCATTTCAATCCATATAAACATTTACTGTAAGGATTTGAGGAAATGAAATGCTATAAACAAATAACTTCCTGGGATTTATAAATACAACAGGGTTTGCCTTTGCTAATGAAGATTGAGTTTAGATTGAGCTTAGCCAGCACAATCTTGCTAAATCCAACCTAAATGCAATATTTTCCCCCAGTGTATCTGCACAGTAACGTCATTAGTTCAATTTGAGGTGGTTGAATTCTAACCATGGGATTTTACCTTGTTTATATACCATGACAAGTATATTAGCTAAACTCAAATTAAACTTGACCATTTTGCCCAGTCAGGAAATATCTATAGTGCTTATAGGCATGGCTAATAATTAAGGACAGATTGGGGACTGACTGGCTAAGCAGCCAGTCAGAAAAGGATCTGGGGGTTACAGTGGACAATAAGATGAATAGGAGCCAACAATGTGCCCTAATTGCCAAGAAAGCTAATGGCTTCCAAGGCTGCATTAGTAAGAGCGTTGCCAGCAGATTTAGGGAAGTGATTATTTCCCTCTCTTCAGCACTGGTGAGGCTACATCTGAAGTATTGTGTCCAGTTTTGGGTTCCCCAGTACAGAAAGGATGTAGACAAATTGGAGAGAACCCAGCAGAGGGCACTGAAAATGGTTGGGGGCTGGGATACATGATTTATGAGCAGAGGCTGAGGGAAGTGGGCTTCTTTAGTCTGGAGAAGAAAAGAATGAGAGGAGATTTAATAGCCACCTTCAACTGCCTGAAGGGTGGTTCCAAAGAGGATGGAGCTGGGCTGTTCTCAATGGTGGCAGATGACAAAACAAGGAGCAGTGGTCTCCAGTTGCAGCAACAGAAGTTTAGGTTACATATTAGGAAAAACTTTCTCACTAGGAAGGTAAAGCCCTGGAACAGGTTACCCAGAGAGGTTGTGGAATTTCCATCCTTCGAGGTTTTTAAGATCCAGATGCACAAAGCCTTGGCTGGGTTGATATAGCTGGGGATGGTCCTGCTTTGAGCCGGAGGTTGGACTAGATGACCTCTTGTGGTCCCTTCAAATCCTAATTTTCTATGGTTCTATGAATTTTTACCATTCTATGGTTCATCAGATTTTCACCCTTTTATTTGACTGTTAAAAGCTCATTGTGTTTGCTTCAATTCAGTCACAAAATTTCCAGAAGAGAGACACTTCAGCAGTTACTGTGCAAATGCACTGAGAAAAATGTTGCATTTAGATGGGATTTAGAGCAACTATACTGGCTAAGTCCAGCCTAAATTCAGCCTTCATTAGTTAAACAAACTCCCTTCCATGTATAACTCCAAGGAAGCTGTTTGCCTATGGCAAATTGGTATCAATTTGTTTGTTTTCCATTTGAAAAATACCAAACTTAAAGAAAATAGTTAACTGAAAATCTTGATATGGAGTCAATAAGAGACAAAGATGTAGCCACACAGTTCCATTTTTAGAGTGCAAGTGTATATCAACAGTAATGAATATCTAAGTTTCATTAACTGAGTTCTTAAATGTGAAGACTTAGAGTTGTTCAGGTGTTGATTTTTAAATAGCTTTTTGTCATTTATCTTTCTTTGTACTGGCATACGTTTCAAGTCTTTCTTTTTAAACTGACAGTGTAATTCATTGCTGAAGCAAGGACAGTCTGAGGATGGAACAGTAGGCTCCGAAAACATCAGTGTTTTGGAGCCAGGCATGCCTCATGAAAATCAAACTGAATTATTACTAATTAAACATGAAAATTATGAATCTGACCATACAGATACTTGTGCAAAGGATGTGCCAAATGATCACAAAAAGGAATTGTGTAATAAAGAACATGAAGTTGTAAAATCGTTCTCACCATCACTGCCATACATAGTTACTGAACAAGACTTCAGGAGTCAAATGCTTTCAGCTGTGAAACCTAACAGGAAAATTTACCCTGTAGAAAAATTGGAAGAGGATTTTTCCAAGCCCCAGTTCTCTCCTGTCCAAAATTCAAGTTCCAAAGACAATGAAAATGAAGATGGAGAATGCACAGATATCAAAGAAGCTGCTACATTCAACCCATACCTGAAAAATTCTATTAATACAAGGGAATTTATTGTTCCTGAAAACTTGCCAGACCGTAACAAGAATGAATCCAGAACTCAATCAACAGCCCCTTTTCAAAAAAACACTGCAGGACAGTCATATGTGACACTGGATATGTTTGGGCTGACCATAGCTCATTAGTACATTCTTGGACCTAGAAATGTTATTTTTGAAAGTCATCGTGAGATGATGCTGTGCTGCCCAGCTGATCTGCTTTCTCTTGGGATTATTGTCTTCTACACATACATGCATTGAAACTCAGTTGGTATCACTTAATCTAGCCAAAGACTCCCAGTTTGTTTGAATGACTATGAAACAATTTTTACACCTGATTTTCTAGTCAGGCTTGAAAAGACTGTTTTCTTTAAGGCATGGTCATAAAAAATTCAAACCAGTTGTGAGACAGTGCAGTCTCATTTTTTTCCACTTAATTCCTCTTAATCTTCTCCTTTTGGCTTATCAAAACTATCTGATCAAGCCAACCAGCTGTGTAAATAAAACACTGATTTCGCTCCAGACTGTTCCTTTCCACGGCTGACCAATGGGCAGTGTATGCTTGCTCAACGATTGAAAACACTTCCTTTCCTCTTAAAGCTAGAAGGAGTGGGGCTACTTTCCCTTTCTTCCTTCCCTCAATTGTTTTATTTTAAGTTTACCCGTAGTGTGCCTGCTGTTTGGTGGAGTAGCTTTGATCTCTCTGTGTCGCATCCTGATACCTGAATCATCTATTTTTTAATGTTACCTTTCCTGTCTGTGTTCAAGGACTTCTGATTTGTTGTCATAGATTTCATCAGTTTGGGAGAAACAGGGGCCCATTCCAGTTTCCTTTTTCTGTTTTATTTTGTGTTTTACTCTGTTTATCCCATCTCCTTATTTTCCACTCACTGGCACTTCATTTATTTCATTGTACTTCTCACCCCTTTGTGCATCTTTTTTTCCTGACTGTTCAGTTGCTTCTCCTTACTGCTGCATTGATGTGTGGGACTGAAATGGCATAGCTGAATATAGCACCTTACATAGAAAAGAGCACTGAATCTTTATTTAAGGCTGTACCTCTCCTGTAACCAATGGAATATGCTACATATACATAAGTATCTAAAGCTGCTCCTCAGTATCTGATGTAAGACTGAAGACCTTTGCATTAAGCATAGAAATTCTTCCTGTTAAGAACCAGAAAGCATATTTGAAAATCTAAGAAACCTTTTTTGAATGTCATCTCAGGAAATGTCCAGGCATCTAGGAATTGGTTCTTGGCTCAATTTTTAACCTATTTAACTTTAATAGTGCTGGTAGCACTGCTCCTAATTTATGTTGGTGTAAGTGAAATCAGAATCAGTTCCTTAGAGAAATCTCTAAATTAGAGGTGAAACTGCTTGTATTTTAGTTGTTGGATATTGAGATAAGGACACTAAGTGGGTACCTCAATACATTTTAAATTCTGTTGGTTCCTACGATTTGTCTTCCTACTCTCCCACCTTCCTGCTCTTTGAGCTGATTATGAGTGCACTTGGTTGTCCAATTTATCATAGTCCAGATTAGGAGGATTGGTTGTGATTGACTGGGTATCTATAGCACACAGGAGGGAGATAGTGACAAGTAACGTGAAGTTTTATCAACTCGGCTGCATTCAACCTCCAGATCTTGGGTTGAGTAGATTTACTGCCACCCAGGCACAACACAAAGCCTGTCTGCCTTTCGAGACTTTCCCTGAGTAGGTTACTTGAGTGAGGAGTTTGATGAATGAGAACATTTTTGATGGTTTGCAAATGCTCTCTCTGGTGATGATGATGTGTCTATTTTTTTTATTCTGCTTTCCTGCATCTTTGCCTAATGATTTCAATGTTTTTAACAAATCAAAATCGACTAACCAACCAACCAACCTGTTATGCATGAAAGATGGAAGAAGGAAACCCTTATGTTTTCACCAGTGGTATATTAATATGCTAAAAAAGTGCCCTCAAGTTGACTGATTTTTTGCTGGCCTAAAGAGCAGAATAAAGAAGTAAGTTAGATCAAATTCCATGTTGCTTTCTATATTTTTACAGAACTCAGCCAGTGTGTCTACATGTTCATTAATGCGCCATAGTTACAGCGCATTAAGTTTAGTTTTTGGTTAACCAAGTACTAAATCAGTGCATAGTAACTTGCTCTACTGCATGGGTTTTTAGTGACACTTACTGCGCACTAGCCTAATACTACTGCGCAGTAGTGTATTAACACAGTTTGTGCCTGGCAAGCTACTGTGCAGTGTTATTAAACTATTGCGCAGCTAGCATCTCATGTAGATGTGCCCAGTGAGTAATGTTGGAAGCTAAAGTTACAGGTGGTAAAGTCCCCCTCCTCTGATTGGGGAGCCAGAAAATAAACAGTGAGGTATCTCACCACTAATTATTTTCAAGATAACATTTACAATATTTAAAAATGTATAAAGTTGTATTGTTTGGGTACCGTACTTCAAGAAAGACGTGAACCAAATGGTAAGAGTCCAGAGGAGGGCAACAGAAATGATGAGAGGTCTGGTAAACATGACCAGCATGGAAAGAAGATTAAAAGAACTGGGTTTATTTAGTCTAGGGAAGAAAAGACTGAGGGGTGACATGGTAACAGTCTTTAAGTGCGTACAAGGTTACTGTAAAAAGCAAACTGTTTTCCCTGTCCCCTGGGAATAGGAAAAAAAAATTATCTTAAATTACAGCAGTGGTGAGTTAAGTTAGACGTAAGGGGGGAAAAAACCCTTACCTATAAGGATGATTAAGCCCTGGAGGATTATGGTGTATCCATCACCTGTGGTTTTAAAGAACAAATTAAACAAACAACTGTCAGAAATGGTTATAACTGATCCTACCATGTGGAAAAGGATAAGCTCTCAAAGGCCTTCCCAACCCTATTGCTATGATTCTCTTCAATTCTTATCCTAATAGAATAAGAAACATGTACTATTTAAAGATGACTAATTGGCTTCCAGGGGCTGGTCATGGGCTATAAAGTGGTTAATTCTGAAATTAGTGATTTGAATATAGCCCACATAGGCATCAACCAGAAGTTTTCATGATGCAATAACAGTTGGGAAACAGATGTAAACGAATATCTCTCTTGCTGTCTATCAGCTTGCATTAATAGGCATTCTTGGTTTAGGAACTGAATGTGCATGGAAATTCAGCTCAAAACTTTTGAGGCTGCTTTTTTGAGTTTGTGAGAGGTCTTCACTGCCTGTCCAGCACATTCATTAGCATTAGCATTTACTACTTTAAAAAAATTCCAGCAAAGACCAAATTGTCCTGAACAGGAGTTTCTTAAGTTTTTTCATTAGGCCTCTTTACACATGACACTTAAGGTGTGATTAACTAGATAATTATGCCTTAAGCTGTGACCCAGCTACACATTCAACCAGTTAATGGCATGATTCACACACAGATAAAACAAGCAATAAACTACAAAGTTATTCTCCAAAAAATATTTAATAACTTTTTATAGCTTGTTCTATTCATGCCATTAATTGAATATGTGGCTGAGTGCTTCCTTGTGGCTGGGAGCCCCACTAACTGGGGGGCTCCCAGCCACAGGGGAGAACCACCCAAGTGCCAGCCTTGCAGCTGACAAGACTTGCAGTGGTGGCAGCATTTCTTCTGTCAGCTGTGGGGCGTGCAGGGGGGAGAGCATGGCTGCCCCTGTGAGCCTCCCTGGCTATGGGGCTTGCAGCAGGGTCAGTGTCTTCAGCTGCAGGGCTCACAGCAGGGGCAGTGTGGAGAATGCTGCTGGGATCATCATGAAGTATAGGGCTCACAGCAGGGGCAGTGTGGAGAACGCTGCTGGGATCATCATGCAGCTCACAGTGGGGGCAGTGTCGGGGAATGCTGCCCCTACTGCAAACCCCACATGAAGATTGCAAAGGCATTCTTTTTGCTGCTGCTGCTGTGAGCGCTGCACCAATGTGGGTTATATAGGGTTCACTGTGGGGGCAGTGCAGGAAACACTGCCCCTGCTGTAAGCTACACTGAGCCCCATCAACTGCAGGACTCACAGCCATGGAAGATGATGCAGGGGGGACCTGGGATTGTGATGGCATGGCTGGAGGCACGATTGTGTAGTTTGCACATTAGATCCCATTGCACTTTTACTGGCACATGTAGAGGGACTCTGAGTGACCATCTTCTCTATCACTGGTGGTCAGAGAATGTATTTGTGGCATCTACAACAGCTGTTTATATAGGAATATGCTATTAGGAAAGCATTCAAGTAACCAAGCTGAAGAAGAGCCAGAAACATGATCACCAGTGACTACTTCACAGGTCACCTTTATTCCAAAGGCCAGCTGGAAAAATTGGCGTAAAATATAGCAGTGGAATATTTATTGAATCCTGTGCGCACAAATCCATGTTCTGCAAGGATTAAAAGAACATCTATCTATGCATGACAAAACCAATGATATACAACCCTTTCAGTATTGTCAGGTGCATATAAAAAAACCGTGGAAATGATGATGTCACACACCTGTCATGGGTAATTCACTGTTTTAATTTAAAATGGAATGAATCTGTCTTGTATCAGCTCTTTAACAGAATAAATAATTCAGTAAGAATGTTACAATTGTAGCATCTTTCTTCCTGCTTAGGAATACACACCTTTAGTGTTCTACGTTTTGAGGAATGAGGAGGATGATTTAATGGGGATGGCATAGGCCTTGGGAGACCAGGGTTCGTCTGTTCCTGGTTCTGTCACCCTTTTCATATAATCACAAAAAAGCCACTTACCCCTCTCTGGGTCTTCAGTGTCCTTCTCTGGAAAAGATGTTTGATGAGGGTATATTTTTAAAGCACGTTTTACACTTGTATAGAAAGTGATATGTACATACACAGCAGGTTTAATTTTAAAGGAGGTATTTAGCTGTGAGACTCCATCAGTATTGATGGCTTTGGATTAACTACATCACTGTGCAATACTTAAAGATGCATGCCATCACTCAAACTCAGCCCACAATGATCCTGTGAATGTAGCATTTTGCTTCTTGAAAATCTGAGACATTTGAGCATAGCAAAAAAGTATCCTAATCTTCAGAATCTATAGGTTGTAAATCTATGTTCAGGGATGTGAAGAAGGATAAAGCAAAGAATATGGGGTGTGTCTACAAATGCATTTTAATGCGTGTTAGCCTATTTTAATGCACATTAAAGCATCACTAAAAAGTGTGCTATTTAGTGAATGTACATCAAAATAGGCTAATACACATTAAGCATCAATTAAAAACTGTGGGCATCTATAGAGATGTGCTCTGGGGGTGGGGAGGATGACACTTTATCAGAGCCACACTAATTAAAATGCCTTGAGCATCTTGTGTATCAGCATCCCTGTGCTTCAAAATGGTGGTGGGGACACTTTATCTAAAGCTCGTTTGACGAGCTTTAGCTAACATGCTCCTGCTGCCATTTTGAAGCACAGGGATGCTGATATACAAAATGTGAAGGCTGGCTGGAGCATGGTAATTACCACACTCCAGCAGACATGATTAATGTAATTACAGTATGTCAGAGCAGCCTCTGTGCTCAGGTATAGGCACCCCATGCTCTTTAGTTAATGCGCATTAAGACTGGCTAATGTGCATTTTCCTAGTACCTCACAATGGAGGGTGTTTATAGACATGTTCTGGGAGGCAGGGGGGGCATTTTAATTAACAAACCACACTCATTAAAAGCACCCTAGTGTCACGTGTATCAGCATCCTCATGCTGAAAAATGGCAGTGGGGCATTTTGAACTTAAAACTTGTTCGATGAGTTTTGTTTAAAGTGCCCCACCACCATTTTTCAGCATGGGGACCCTGATACACATGACACTGGAGTGCATTAATTTCTACATTCCAGTAGACTCTTAATTGAGTCTAGTCCAATGCAGAAGAAGCCTCACTTCACGTCTATAGGAGCCCTCAGTACTAAATTTATTGTGCATTATCTAAAGCACAATAATGGATGTATAGATGTGCCCACTGAGTACTACATAGTAAATGTAAGTTCTAATTGGGCTGCTGCATGGAACAGAGAAATTACTCCCTGTTAGCATGGATTGAATTGAAACATTCACGAATCAGCTGTTTTACCTCAGACACTGAACTATGCTTGATAGGAGTGCCAAACAAACAACATGGAATTCTTCAACTGTATTAATATTAGGAAGTTTTAATAGGACTGTGTCAGGGCACCTTTGGAGCCTGCCACTTTAAGGGCTTGAACAGACTGCAGATCAGCCTGCAGGTGGGAGCAGACCCAATCAGGTGGTCACATGGCACACAGGAGGCTGCCTGATTGGTGTAGGGCTAGACAGTCAGAGTATAAAAAAGGCCCTGAGAGCAAAGCCGAGCAGTTGCAACTGGGTAGCCAAAGGATGAACATCTCCCGGCCAGAGTACTGCTGCTCCCTGAACACCTGGAGATCAAGGGTAGGAACTATGTGGATGGAGGAGGTTCCTAGTCCTGGGGAATGACCTAAAATTATACCCTGATGGGGTTGGATGGTGTGATGGGGCAGTCTCCAGGAAATGCCACACCTGTGCCTCCCTGGTGAAAGGCTAGGATGGAGCACCATAAAGCCTCAGCCCCCATGACCTTGTAGGTTACCCTGTAGAAGGGACAGGCAAGGGGTTCAGGCACATCATCAGATACCTGTGGCCCAAGGGGTGTAAGGCCCAGGAGCCCTGGTGAAGGGCTGGAGTAGTGTCCTCAGTGAGGGGGTGGAGTAGAGGCTCTGTAGGGTGGAAAAGCAGGCCCAGGAGGGACCCAGAGAGTAACTGTGGCCCACAAGCTCAGACAGTGGGGACAGTGTTTGGAGGGGCCTGAGAAGGTGGCCCTGTATGAGTGAGTGGACTTGCTGCTCAAGAACCTTCCCAGGGAACTTTGGTCAATGCTGGGTCCAGGACCATGAAGGTCAAAGGCCCAGAGCGCCCACTGTGCGGAATGGCCAGAGCCAGCCACATGGAGTCCTGACTGGCCTGAGGTGGGGCCAGGGTTTGTGAGGCCAAAGGTCCCGGAGGGGGCCACTGCCAAGAGGGGAAAGGGTTTAGCGGGGTTTTGCAGCCCAGGATGATGACAGAGGTTAGGTTGCCTGAGTAGGAGGGATCCAGGTTGGGTTAAAATATCAGTTAGGAATATAGCGGGGCCCAGTGTGGGACTGGAGCCAGATAGTGATGCCATCTGCATGGCATGGGACATGGTGTAGGGGCAGTAAGGAGCTGTGTATTATGCCCTTGGCATCAGGGCAGTAAATGGGCAGCCTCCCACCTATAAACAACTATCTAATTCCAAAAAAGGCGTGGCAGCAATTCAGGTGGGCAGGCCAACATTTGGACAGGCCTCGAGATGGCCCCCTGTCACAAGGGCCATTATATTATTAAATAGTAAAAAGAGCAATTAAAGTTAAGGACAAACTGTTGAAAAGCTAAATTACTTTTTCATTTGCCTTCAACGCAAGGGATTTAGAACTGTTTATTCAGGCATTCTCGGAGACTGAAGTTTGCAAAGACAATCTGTTAAGACAAATTAAAGTTCAGCAACTTGTGACAAAAAGTTGCATGCCCTAAATTCATTTGTAAATCCTAAAAGAATTGACAGAATGGCTGATTTGGCAATAAATATACAATGACAAAATCAGCGGCTGAAAAACAAGACAGGAGGTAGAGTTGGTTGAAATTATTTTTTGACAGAAAATTGTGTTTTTACTAGCTTATTCTTGCTTATCTCCCCCCTGCACCAACCCAGAGAAGATACAAGTCATAGCTTTTCACTTATGCCATAGAGAAGCCAAGCAGAAATTAAATATTAACTCGGGTGGAATCCCATTGACTAATTGTCCGAACCCTGTGTACTTGGGGGTTCCGTTGGACTGAACACTTACCTTGAAATCACATGTAGAGATGATGAAAAAGAAAGTCAGTACCTGCAACAACAAATTTCAAAAGTTGGTCATCTCAAAGTGGGGAGCCAGCCCAGCTACATTATGAACCACTGCTATTGCCTTGTGTTACTCCACTGCTGAGTATGAGTGTCCAGTATGGGAATGATCAGCTCATGCCAAGGATCTAAGACCCAGTTCTAAATGGTAGCTCTTGTGAAATAGCAGGATGCCTAAAGCCAACACCAAAAGATAGCCTGTACTTACTGTCTGGCGTTGCACCACCTGATATCAGAAGAAAGGTAGCAAGCCAAAAAGAAAGATCAGAGCAGATGGAAGACCCCAGGCATCCACTCTCTGGTCACACAGAAGTAACAACATGACTTAAAGCGCAAGAGTTTTGTAACCAGGGTTACACTTGTGATACTATGGGTGACAGGGAGTGACTGAGGTTATGGCAAGAGAGGTTATGAGCAGTCAGGTGCCCTGAAATGGACTTGGAACCCCAGGAGGACCTTCCTAGAGGGGCTGATTGGCTGTGAGAGCTATCCATCATGCAGCCCTGCCCTCACTGCTGATTGGTTGAAAGGAGTGGGGCCACATGACAGGCAGCCCTCATAGCCAATCAGTGGTGAGGGACAGGTACTGCAGCCATCTTGCTGGAAGCCTTTTGAGCAGCTCCCCCTCCCTGCCTTCCTGCCCAGGTGAGCTGCCACGGTACTCGGTAAGTTGTTTTTTCTGCAGATTTCATGGGCTTTGGCTGGATTTCGCGGGCAACGCTAGATTTTGAAGAATCTACAAAATTGCAAATTCAGTAGGCCCCTTCCTATATTGCAATACAGAATTTCAGCTTATTGTCTCAGCAGCAGCATTACAAGCCCAAAACACTTAACATTTATTTAAACAGACGAGTTCCTTGGGTACATGGATTCCTGATGGGCAGTGCATGGAAGTGGGGTTGGAACTTGGAATACTCCGTAAGCCCATTCTGAACATTTTCACTAGCAGCAGCATTGTCAGTACTTGAGATTCAGACATCACAAATCAGTACCTCCCCCTCCCTTTGCCTCCGCCCCTTCCTCCCCCCCCCCCCCCAAATCATAAAATGAGCTTAAATATCAAGATTGGTTTAAACTTCCCTTCTCCCTTATTGGCATCCTGCTGTTCTCTCTTCCTGTCTTTATTCTGTACCCCCCCCTGTTTCTTTCCCTCTGTTTCCTTACACTCATCTCTTCTCCTCAGTGCTCACTTGCCTTCATGCTTTTCCCTCTGGGTAAAAGTGATGCAACAAGTGACTCAGTGCATCCTGCCATTGTCTGTGCTTTTATTTCCATTGTAGCAAGCTACATTCTTGGTTAGATTTAGTGTAGGCCCTTTGGGACAGTCTTCTTTGACAGCCAGCAGACTTCATAAAAGCTCTGACTTCATAAAAGTTTAAAATATGACATCTTTCAAACTTGTGAAATGAACAGGAAAATTATTGGGAATGAGATAAATGAAAAAGCGTTAGTCAATTGTGTAGGTTAATATGAATGAAATTAAGAAAGAAAATTCAGAGCTAAGAACATGACATTTGTGGAATTTCTTACCAGGCACTTTTTGGAATTTATAGTTTCCTTGGAAGTCTGACTTTTCTCCAAAGCCAGTTACTTTTTGTCCATATGAGAAGGTTTTTTGAACATGTAATTGTCTATTAATCAATTTGAGCGCAGGGAGGTAGGGCTGTCAGTACTTCAGCCTCACTCTTATTTAGCACATATGCTATAGAAGAGTTTTTCTAGACTTCACTCTGCTTGAGAATCAGAGACATCAGGAAAAGAATGTGTGGGGGGAGGATGAGGCAGAAGGAGGAGTCATTCAGTCCAGATCTTTAACATGGATTATTTCCCACAGTAACATTTCTAGTGCCTTTTACAGTATTTTCATTTAAATATTCAATGTGACAAGGCCTTTGGAAATTGTCAGAAGCTAATATTTATCATTATAAAGGTTTTTTTTATATTGTTTATATATTTTCCCCTTTCATAATATGATCTTTTTTCCATAATGCCTCTTTGTACTATGCTAAAATAATTCTCCTTTCCATTTCATCTTGGTAATTTTTAGTTATTTCTCAGTTACCACTCAAAATTAATTTCTCTCCCAATTTGGGCCTTATGCTCTTCAAGTTGTAATAGATATTTATACACTCCATTTATTTTGTGCTTTAAAAACTTGCATTACATAATCAAATATGGATGTGTTAATAACATGATGTACATGAGGTTCTGTAGATGACAAGAAATGTAATTGTATAGTTTTGAATGTTAACATAGAAATAGTTTTTTGTAGGGACAGAATTTATGCTACCTTGGATTTGTAAGAGGAAATTAATTGTTATTAAATATAACTATTTTGTTATATTAATTAT